TGTATAACGTATGGTACTGTCAGTAATCCAACATGAAAACGAGCAATTTAATAAGAATAAGAAATATGATCTAATTTATACCATATCTCAGAAATGGTTTAGGGGCAAAATTTTGTGTAAGTGCCTGTTTTCATAAAAATATTGACAGGGGTCAGCAGATCTCCCAATCATCATAAAAGTCAAATTCAGGAAAAAAATCACAATGTTTTGGGGGAAAAAGTTGAACACATTTTTGTTTAGGTAACCCTTAGGGTATAAAGTAATGTTATATTATTATATATCCTCTCATGTGTAAAATTACTATTTCTGGAGAAATGCAGGGCAGTGATGAAAAATAGGTATGAACATTTAAATATATCCATACTAACTTCAATGTTTTCATTTTTTCAGGTCCTGTACTCTGGTACTGTCCATATATGACCGTTTTTACCTTATCATCTGGATGAAATTTTCTCAAAATGGAAGGTATATCACTTATGTGTATATACAAGTTCAATTATTGTAAATCAAACCCTGGTTGCTCAAGTCAGGTTGGCTAACTTAATCAGTGGTTAGTGAAAAATTCAGGCTGTTACCACTCAGAAATGGGGTTTCAAAGCGAACTAAATCTTTGAATTTTAAGTTTGAAAATGTTCCCTAACCTCTGGTTATCTCTAACCAACCTTATATAGAACAACCTGGGCCAGATGTGCTATTTTTGGAATAACTAAGTTTCCCCAGAACAATCTAGACCAATCATATACATGTACATTTTGCATGTTTGCTCATATATGTCAAATTTATTTCAAATTTATTTTTGTAACACACAATCCCTGTTAGCTGATAGATAGTATAGTCAGTTTTTCACATACTTGCATTGTAGTTTGATTGAAGTTTTTGTTTTCATTCCTATTTAGCTCTAGCTACAGTATAAATAGCAAGTGTTAGTATATAGTCTACTGATGTTTATTACAGACATTTGTACCATTGAAATCCATGTATGTAGCAATAGTTTTAAAAAGTCTTGCTACTAAACTGTTTGTCATATACTTTAAAAAGTTTCAGGTTATATTAACTTATTTATTAACAATTATGAAACAAGTATTTACAACTTATATTAATCACTCTTGTTGGTCTGGATGTTAGCTTGGGGGGAGGGGGATCTTAATGTGGGAGGAAACAGGAGTACCCAGAGAAAACTCACATGGTCGGGCAGGTGACCCCATACTTTTTCACATCCAATCAAGGAATCATACCCCGGCCGCCTTGGTGAAAGGCCTGTAAGCTATCCACTGCGCCACCGACCACCAAGAATACCTGTTAGCCCTTTGAGTTTGTCATGTTAAAGAGTATATATTACAGTACTAGTTAACCAATTAAACTATATTCAATTAAACTTCATATGTACTTATTTTTTGTTTGCAGACGAAAACGTTTTGTTGGTAGATGTTACTGTTCCTCCAGAGATGGATTCTCCCCTGGATTTTTCACGTCCACTTATCAGCAGTCATAGTCCACAACTTCCATCTAAGGTTACAGAAGATACCAGCAACAAGGAAAACGCAGATGCAACCATAGGTAATGGTTTTGTGAGGGCTAAATATAAGATAATCATGAAAAATTATTTTAATGTTGTGTGAATACATTCTTACTTGGTACAGGTATGTGTATTTCTGTTTCTCACAGATTAATCATACATGTTGCAACCTTTGACAAATTTTAGATGTACAGCCAAACGCTAAAATTATTTACTAGGAACATATGTTTCCTTGTAAGGGCCATATTTAATATGTACATCTTCCTAAAGTATAAAAAGGTAAAGGAAACAACAACATAAAGTCGAAGTCATTACACATTACATCTCCAGCACACACGAAGGCATACACACATATGGAGATATTAGCCAGGTGGCATAGGACTAGTAGTTAGCGACTGAAAAGGCAGCTCTTGCAAATTCCTCATAAAAAAACTGTATTGATTTAATGTATATGCTAATTGTATTGATTGTATATCTATGTACTGTAAGGTGCTTTAGAGAGGTTTATGTTAGCTAGATAGGGAGCTATATCAAATGTTATATATTATTATTTTATTATTAAAAAGTATGTTTTATTTATCATAATATTTGTAGAAGTTTTCCCCAATAACCAAAGTATTAGGATTACCAATATTCAAATGCATCATCCTTCTGAAATACCTCACTTTTGGCGTGTGTTGAGCATTCTTGCAAGTGAGTAAGGTTATGAATTCTTCAAATAAGTAGCAGTACGGACTGATTTACCAATTCAATGTTAGTATAAAGTGACAGTAAAGTACTGTGCTGGGTGCTTTTGGTATGGTATTTCAGTGAGGTATCACTCCAAAATTAGCATCAGATCCGCACCTTCAAGGAGGCAAACTGCCCATCATTCTTGCATACATACATGGAAGCACTACCTTACATGACCTTAATAGCTGTTAATAGGAGGCTAATCTTACAATTGCAAACAAAATGTAAGAATCATCCTTTTGTGATATTTTTGTTATATGTTTATTAGCTGAAATCATTGCTTACAAACATTTAAATGATTTCAGACTCGATTGAGATTGAGCGTAGTGATGAAAGTGACCGTCGTCACAGCCTTACTCTGTCCACACCTGGAGCCCTGCATCACCGCATCTTGAGGGATGTTACACAGAAGTCAACCTGTAGTAATGCTGTATCTAGTCCAGGTACAACTGTTGTTTAAATTACGGTAATGCTGTATCCAGACCAGGTACAACTATTGTTTACATTACATTATTGCTGTATCCAGTCCAGGTAAAACTGTTGTTTAAATTACGGTAATGCTGTATCTAGTCCAGGTACACTCGTTATAATGCTGTTTCTATCTAGCCCAGAGAAATAAATACCTGTTTTTGAAATTTTGCATAGCTGAAAAATGCTTTTTTATTTATTACAAATCTACAATTGCAGAAGCACTGATCCACTGCATCTTCCCTCAGTCCATGAAATATTTTAATTCTGGTAGTTGGCCATCTTCGCTAGCCAAGTGTTCGCTTCATATACACTCCACTTACCCTTGGCGGATATAGCCGTGTTTACTGAGCCTTCAAGTTTTTGTCCGGTGCCAATCACTTGCATCCAATGAAATCGCGTCTTACATATAGCACTGTTGACGAAGGAAAACAGTAATGGCGGCGCCTTGTACGGAAGCACGTTGTCGTTTATGTCAGAGTGTTTTGCCCCCCCCGCCAAATGATGACCGGGGAAAATATGTGTGCGGCCTTTGTTTCCATATATATTGCGCTGTCATTTATACTCCGCCTCGACATACACATGTTTTTTGGGAGAAGAGCGATAACTCGGTATATACGCTAGGGGGCAGTGGAGGGAATTATGAAAACACGGCTATATCCGCCAAGGGTAAGTGGAGTGCATACTTGGCTAGCGAAGATGGTAGTTGGCCTAAAATAGATGCAATATTTCATACCAGGATAACTTATGTCTTTGTCTTTATCTGACATTGTAGATATACATCTGCTAGTTCGTAACTCACACTCCTGTATGTATTCGTCCATACAATTGTAATTGTATAACCGGTATCTGTTATGTCAGATATTAAAGACATATGATATTTATTGCAGTTGATATGGAAGGAAACAGCATGGTCTAGGTTAAAATGTTTGTTTTCAACATCAGGAAGAAAATACTGATAATAGTGTAGATTATAAACATATTATATGTGTTTTCTTATGTTTTAGTTATCTCTATGCTGGAAGATGAGATGTTTGATTTTGACTTTGCTTTGTCTCCGGCGTCAGGGTAACATGTTTTTTTATATATATTTCTTAACATTTTCCTTAATAGTTTTGAATTTGGCTACTCCGTCTTTGCGTATTGCAGAGTAATCTTCTCTTGTGAGCAGGTATTGATTGTTAAGTCATTGGTTTGTGTGAGAAAATTATGTCAGTTTCTCAAAAATTGATGACGTTACTCTCACAAACAAATGACGTAACAATCAATACCCGCTCACAAGAGCAGATAACTCTGCAATACGAAAAGACAGAATATCTGGCTTTGTATAGTTAATTTTGTTTAAATAGAGTTATTCATGTGCTTTGATTATCAAATACATTAATGATCGTTTGCTAAACTGTATCTCATAACATATGAGATTAATATAACATATGCAATTCATTCATATTTTCAATTTATGCAATCTGATTAAAATCATCTGTTACATGGCTCCGCCTGAACATCTGAAGGTGCCGCGGTCAGAGGCGCGCTGGCAAAAGTTTGCCAGCGAATCGGAATATCATGGTTGATAGATAAATAGCGAGGGGTATCAAACAGATTAGTTTTCCAAAACAAATATGGTGGCTGGAACTGACGTTTCTACGACGCCAAGGAAAACGTACCCATTGGGTAATGATTGCGTAGGCAACACCGCCACACAGTCTTTCTTCTCTAATAAAGCTTCGAATAACTTTTTCTGTTCGTGTTTCAGACGATCAATCTCAAATAACTTCAGAACTTTCGCATTATTCTCATCAATGTCCGCCATATTTGTTACAACTCCGAGCGCCCTTTTGAAAGAGGGTCTCTGATTGGTCAAAATTAAAGAGTATTTATAAATATAAAGGTCACCTGAACGTGACCCTGACCGCGGCACACTCAGATGTTCAGGTGTAGAACGAAGTTAACGAAGCCATGTAACATGATTTTAATCAGATTGGAATTTATGTGTCAAGCCATACAACTTGAATATGCCGAGGCTTGCAAAATGTCATAGGTACTTCACTTGAAATACTAAACCTGTGTCCCACCAAGTGATCTATTCATTTCGATCCTTTACAATTTTATAGGGGTGAGGTGTGATAATGGGATTTCTTTGAGAGAAAGAAAAGGAAACGCAGACATATTGATGAAATGTTATTTGATAACGTAGAGTATTGCGTCCTAATGTTTCATTGCAGACACTTCTATCTATCCAATCAGTCTGAATTTATTTTCGTTAATGTAATTTTCATATATTTTTTTCGCAACAGATCACTAGAGCGAAGTCAGGAAGAAGAGGAGGAGGAGGAGGAGGAAGTGTTCTTTGGACCTATGGGATTTGCAGAAAGATGTGTAGCTCAGGCTGTAGGGCCAGAAGTAAAGCCACTGAGCCCTCTTAATGCTGGTCAAATAGCAGAACTTGTTAAAGAGGCTGCCCTAGTTGCTTACAGACTGAAGACAGATTATAAAAATTCCTCATTGAATGAAAGTGAATCTCCACCAAAAAAGCGACACTCTCGTAGTGGAACCTTTACCATGGACAGCAGCCCTCTCAAGCTATTATCCCTACCTATCATAGAATCTGAGGAGCCCAGTCCAGAGGCAGAGACGACAAACAAACCTGACAGTGCCAGCAAGAAAAATGGAGGCACTGTCACCAAGGGTAACAAGGAAAATTTGTTAGAGCAGGGGAGAAAACTCGTAACGCCAAACAGATCAAAATCACGAAGATCAGGGCTGGTACCTCCTGCTAACAAGGCTAAGAAAAGTTTACATGGGGTAATCGTCAAAGTTTTGTGTTTTTAGTTTAAATTGAGTCAAAAAGCTGTATTAGCTATCTGATCATTGATGTGAAATATACTGTATAGTATAAACATATGCCGTATATGGTGCAGTCAGGATCATTCATTTGCTGTGGTCTACTAGCTATAGCTCACCATAAACATATGTTCTAACAAAGTCGTTTCAAAAACGTAACCAAGAAGAAAAGTATTTGGCAAATTTTAATCTAAGTACAGCATTTTTAACAAAATACACACAAAATATTAGTACAAAAAGAAAAACTCCAGAAAATATTGATATGAAAATGACAGTTTTTACAGATTCTATGTGTTATGTGCTTTGGTCTGCCTGACAGGTTATAAGGCAGAAGTGTGATGAGGTCTTCTGTATGGTTTCCATCATCCTCGACACTCCAGGGGTTACGCTCACTTTCACTCTCTGCAGCCTTGGAATATGTCATAGCAAAATTGAAGGCTCAGTGTACACCACCTTGTGGACGAGACTAGAAGACTATTTCGATCCTTTGATATTCATCAAAAGAATCTCGCGGTCATGTAATTGTAAAATTTGAAAGGCTTTGAAGGTGGGTGTTGCTCCTTTGTAATCTTCAAAGGACAGGTATCAGCTTGGCGATTGGTCAGGTTTATTTTACCAGAGACCAATCAAACAGCTATCTTTGTGCCTTCAAATTTGCTATGTCATATTCCAGGGGTGCAGAGAGCGAAAGTGAGCACAGTGATATTTTTACCCCAAGTGAAGTTTTTCAAATCCTGACCCAATATTTTCCAACTCGCTTGTTAAAAAATCAGAGTATGCCTTCTTATAAACTGTTGTACAACGTTGTAAACATTTGTGACAAATGGAAGTTTACCTTGGGGCATTGAATTCAAGCTTCAAGTTTTGTTTACGCATGAGGTTGTTTGGGTGCGATCAAATAAAATTTCCCTAATATCATAACTCAGTAATATGTCGTAAAATTCCCAATACATTGTGTCCGCGCGGTAAAATTCCCAATAAAAAAAGGCACCGACCCTTAAGATAAAAAAAAAAGTAAAAAAAAAGTCACTGAAGCGTAACCCCTGGAGAATCGAGGATGGGTTTCCATGGGCACTATAAATTGAGTCCCTATATGTTGGGTAGACTAAGCTTTGTCTGACACATTTGTCTATACAAAATATTACTGATATACCACATACTATTGTCAACAACTGAATTAATTTCAAGAATTTGTGCTATTATCTTCACTTGTCAAAACCAGTAATATTTTCAATGCTTGACAATTTTTCAGGTGTTTAAGGCAAAACCTACTGAGAAAAACCCTGAGGAAGACGTGCCAACAGAAAGTGAAGCACAGGTAACAAGGCCTGATGTCAAATCTCGGACCAGTAACCCTGTGCCTGTAATAAAACAGGCATTGACAAGCAAGGTAAAAACTTATATCAACTCCATTGGTCAAAACTGTGATTATAAATGACTAAGGGCTGTGGGCATAGAATTTGATAAAGTGAGGTGGGAGGCACTTTTTCAGAGACCCCCAACACCCATCCAATATCAAAAGAGATTAAATATCAGGAATGGTAGACAGATATGGATTTAAACTGAACACCCATGATATATTAATACATGTGTCTTCCACCTCCCCATACAATTAATTATAGAATAGTTGTATTTTGTATTTTGTTTTTAGACTTTTTGAAATATTGGATTATGATTGAATATTGGGCATAGAATTTGATAAAGTGAACAGTTATGGGTTGGTTAGAGTTTGTTTTTAGGTCACCTGAGCTTTGCTCAGTGACCTATTCTAATCGCTTTCCGGCCGTCATCGTGCGTAAACGTTTTACATTTTCAACTTCTTCTCAAGAACCAGTGGATGGATTTTTTTCAAACTTGGTCAGAATCATCCTTGGTAGATGAGGCTACAAAATTGTAAAATTGGGATTCCTACCCAAACCCCTGGGTCCAGGGCGGGGCCCAAAAGGGAAAATTAACCAATATTTCAAAAATCTTCTTCTCCAGACTCAGAGGTATTACAGTCATTTTCTCTGCATGGAAAGAAATATCTTCAGGGGCTTTACTTAAATTATAAATTTCAGGACCCCCCAGCTATTCATTCTCCCTTGGGGAGGGGGTAAAGTTTACTATTGTTCATAAAGGGAAATAACACTTTTTGGTATATTTTGACAACTTTCTGTAGGAAATTATTTTTACTTGGTGAGAATTATCCTTGGAGGAAGATGGTTTCAAATTGTAAAATTGA